TAGAAAATTAATTTCAAGAAAAAAACAAACGAATATTTTCTTACGTAATTCACAAAAATAACCACTATATCCTGTAGCGCAATTAATACAACGAAACGATCCACTGACTGTATCTTGACAAGTTCCACGATTACGACATGGATTATTTTGACATTGAGGAGCTAAATATCAATCAGATTTAGAAATGAATTTTTTCGTTTTAAAAGATTTATTCAAACCTCCACAACCAGCAAGTGAAATAGGAAATAATCCATTCGTTCCAGAATTTCTTACAACACATAGTGATTGACCACTAATAACAGCACATGATGTATATGTTACATTCATATATGTAAATGGAAATGCACATCCCGTATTGCCTGACACTAAAATAAGAAAATATTCAATTAATAAATAATTTTCAAACCTAAATAACATACCAATTTCACATAATGTACCAACTGTATTATTTGAACTACAAATACACGTATTATCTCTGCATGTAGCTCCATTAGTACAAGTAATTGCTTTAGGATTTGTTATCAGATTACAACCAAATACTTTAAATTACGACTAATGTATCATGAACTTTGAAATAATAAAGCAATACAAAACTTACATTGATCACATCGACTGCCAGTAAAATATTCTGGACAATTACATGTAGCTACACCGTTAACAGTTATACATGTACCGCCATTGAGACATATATTTGGAAAACAAGGATCTTTTGAAACATAATCAAAAACTTTGGAAAATAAACTCAAAATCAATTATTAAATTTTTAACAAAGAAATTAGAACTAACTGTTTCTTGAACAATCAAGACTATCATATGTGATATTTCTATCAATAACACGAGATTTTGAACATACAAAATTCGGAGAAAGTGGTATACAAAAATTATAATCAACCAAAGCAAGTGCAAATGGAAATACACAAGCTAAAAACGAAATAAAAAAAAGACATTCTTTTAACAATCAAACCTATTTCTTGTTTATTTACAAGTATAAGGTGTTGAATCTTGTGTCACTGGATTTGTTATATATGTTGGATCGATTGATAATTGATGACCAAATGGAGTTGTATTATTTCGAGTTAATGCTGTTGCTAGTGCTGATAGAATAACAGGTGTGTATGATACACTTGTTGGTGTTACAGCCATACTAACTGAAATATATGTGCCAGATGAACTTGGACTAAAAAATGAATTCCGATAATTTTTCATTATGATAATGACACAAACTTACGCCACAAAATTAATTGAATATATTCTGTCTGATGGAAGTGTACTAAATGCAGTATTCAACCAAGTAAATAGATCATTAGATAAATTAGTATAAGATGGCGAATTAAGTGTATTAAAATAATAATCACTACTAAATGGTAGATTACTTCTAAGCATTATATGAAAATATTCTATGAGAAAAAATCAACAACAAATATAAGATATATATCGATGGGAGAATTTTTTCCACGTACGAAGATTACAAAATACACCATTCCATGGCGCAACACATTGACAATAAGAATATTGATCATCATAAATACATCTACCAGCGTTAAGACATGGAGATGAATTACAAAAAGCTGGAAAATTATTTAATAAAGAAAGTTTTTTATAAATAAATAATTGAAATGAAATAATTTACTTCTATTAACGTCTTGATATCGGTCTCGTCTTTGCGTCTGCTCAATTTCGATAGATGCACTTTGAATATGTCGTAATGACGATGTATCATTTGTTATATTATTATTAAAAATAGTCGCAACAAAAATAACAGTGCCATCAAATGAAGGAGGAGCCATCCAATAAAATGTAAACTCTAATCGATTTGGGTGTTCAAGTAATGATTTTTGATTAGTTACTGCTTGTTCTGAAAATAATGAACAATCTATTACTTGACCATCAGCCCACGTGAACGGTTGCCATGAACCAATTAATTTAGAATAATCACTTGCACCCATAAGAAACCATGTTGTACTACTTACAGTTTCTTTAACTTTTAATGATATTTTTATTATATTCGATGATTTAAGTTTGTCGGTTAGAATTAAATAATTATCGTCACCATTTGTAATCAATGGTGTTAAATTTAATTCCGAACATTGAAAAGCTTCCGAAACGTGTAAGCATATATGAACTAGAAAGATTAGAATCGAGAATAAGGACATCATTTGATTGATGACAATCAAATAAGTTGATCGATTTTATTTTGAATGAATACCAATATATAAAAGTCAAGTGTATACGAGCAAAAAGAAAAAGTAATTGTAAAAAATGCTTATTGTATGATGAAAGAAAAAACTTCGGCAAAAAAGAAATAGTGTAGGTGGACACTGTTTTTATTATTGTTTTAGACTTCGCATTAGAGATCTTAATACAATAATAATGAGGTACAAATGAGAATACGAAAAGCAACGAGCTTTTTTAATATACATCAAATATGTTCGCACTATTTATAATGATCAGAATCATTTCTTCGTATTTTGATGCCAATATCATTACAATCAGTGAAATTAAAAATCATGAATACGATAGATTGTTATATTAAATAGCATACCTGTATATTTTTTACGTTGCAAATCTTTTTCAATACTTTATAAAATATATACTTATATTTATATCATCAGATCGATCTTTTATTTCTCACATCAAAAAGATGATTGAAAATAAAATACATACATAGAGAGAATGAGAGAAACAGAGAGAGAGAGATTCTATAGACTACTAATTTTTTTCATAATAACAGCTTGATTGTTTTATTGTTTGAATATTTATAAATCTAATTTAGATTTATTTATAAGTTGAATAATTTTTCATAATCTGTTTTAAACAATTGAAACATTTTCCGAAGTATTGAATAACACTAAATTCATAATGATAATTCAATGTTTGAAACAACGTTTTAATAATCTACTTTTGTTATTTACAAATAGTTAATATGTAAAATACATCAACTATTGAAAATACCAGTACGTTCTTGTTCAAGTTTTTGTTTTTTTGTTTTTCTTCCTAATATATATTGTACTAAACCTGCGAATACTCCTGAACAACATCCAAGTCCAACAAACATGCCTACTAACCATGCAGGTCTTGTATTCATATCCATTGACCACATACATACAGCCATACCAATTTGAAATAAAGAATTTGCTATAAAAGTCCAAACAACAATTCGAATCCATAAAATATTTGTTGTATATGAATGACGCTGAAGAAGTTTATGTTGATGTTTTTTACTATAAAGTTGATAAAGATCACGTACTCGCCAAGGAATAAGACCAATACCCGTTACACAGAAGAGTGCATTAAGAATTTGAGAATCAATCTCAATCCAAATTTTACGTGTTTGTTCATCAGACATTGTTTTGTTTGCAGCACCTACTAATATGAGAAATAACATTCCACCCCATGCCACAATATTAAGTGCATAGATTATAATTAGGATTATTTTTGTATATTTAAAACATGAAGAATTAATAAATGATTGATAACAATTTGGTTTTTTGGTAGATTGAGATACTAATTTTGGATCTGGATCAATTGGGGTCGAAATATTATCGTGTACTATGCTATTAGTAGACATTTTAAAAAGAAATAGCTTTATACATGTTTTGATAAAAATAAATAACACAATGAATGTATTTTTTGTTTCAAAACCATGCCATTTTTTTTTACAAACGGCAACAATAGAAATTGTGAGTCAAAAAAGAAAGTTTTTTTTTTCGGTGTACACGATTTGCTTGCTGAGAAAATTTCTCCGTTCTTTCTTTTTACTTGATGAAATGTAGGCTGCACGCATGCTCTCGACGACAATGTTACTCATTTGAATTGAATACTTAAAACAACCTGTACACATATCAATATATGACTTATGCATGAATGGGTCTTAAATGAGTAAGAAAGATGTGACATACAGTGAGAATGGTATATGATACGGATAGATATAAATTGAGTCAGCGGGCAAAGAGAAAACTACGTATTAAACTTTTATATTGGAAAGGAATATTTCAATTATACGCAAAAACTCAATTCTAGAATATTTCTATTGAAGATACATTTTGTTTATGTGATTATCTTATGACCTAAGCGAAGCCATATAAGGTTAACTAGATAACACATTTTTACGAAATCTAAAGTCTATTCACCCGTTTTTTTAATAAGATATAAGGGTCATTTAAAATTTTATTTGATATCATACTGAGATATGGTAAAACTAAACCAAAATAGGTAGATCGTGAGAATCTTAGTATTTTCATATTAACTATACTATTAACATGAAAATTCATGTTTGACTACATCGGATGAAAGAAAATATTACCAAAGCCTATAAATTGAATAAACATTTAAATGTGAAATGTTTTTCTTCGTCTAGTCATTTTTGCTAGAATTTCTATTTCTTTTTTTTGAGTGAACAAAACAGAAATTGATAAAATTTATTTGCGAACTAAAGAAGTAACTATCAGATATATTGAGAAGTATAAACTAATGAAAATTTCTTTACGATAAATGTAAGCTCACCACGTAGGATGTATCTGACCATTTCCATGTAAATAAGTTGTGAACGGTCCTTGCTGGTAATGTGGATCATGCACTGCAGATGAAACAAATACATGTATTTTTTTGTCCATACCAATCCTTGTTTTAAGTTTAATTTTTCTTATGAGAAATGTATATTAAACAAAGGTAAAAAGCAAACGTTGTCGACATGAAATTTAATGATTATCATTCTAAAGAAATTTTCATTTTTCATCTATAATGACAATAGAACTTAGAAATGTCATTTCTTCCATTCAACATGTATTAATCATAATACATAGATACATAATTACAATCAGTAAGTTCGAACTTAAATTTATTTTCTTAGTGAAAGCTTTCTCTTAGAAATCATTCTTGCATTAGAATTAAATATGTAAAATCATCCGCTAGTGCTTGTTTATTAAAATAGTAGTTTCAAAATCTCGTAAAATAAATTAAATATAGGTTTCCAAAAAAAACTCATTACTATAAATTACACTTTAGCCTGTAGACGGCGGTTGTGAATCTCGACCAATAAAATTTTTTGGTCCTGTAGCTAACGGTAACTTTTTTGCTTGATCTAATGTTGGTCGCTTTTTACGATCGCGTGCTTCAAGTTTAATGGTTTTTCCATTTTCTTCGAGTGATTTTTTTATTGCAACAATTACTCGTACATCAAGTAAACCTTCTTCACCATCAGCTTCTGGATCACTATTCTGTAAAATACATTCAGAAAAATATTCTGTTTGACCACCGAAATGATCTGTTTCTGGAAAACATTTTGAATCTTCTTTGCCATCAATTTTTGTTTTATAAGCAATATTCATACCATGACCCCACGCAAAAGCAGGATTTACTTCAATATCACCTAAAAAAAAGAATTAAAGTATTGTTTATTTTTTCATTTCTTAAACTAAAAGATTCGACCCATAAATTAAATTTCTAGTTAAAAATTTTTCTGCAAACAAATATTAAGAAGAACGATAATTTGATAAAAAAAAATTAATGTACTTTAAAATTTTATACCTTTGGTACCAACAACTTTGTAACAATTAGTATTGGCTGCAGAATAACCAACAACAAATTGAGCCATACGTTCACCAGGAAATCGAAGTGTTACATTAATTGTATCATATTCCATTTGCAAAAATTCACGTCCAGGAGTTTTAAATCCAATAGCAGTTACTTCAATCGGTTCCATACCAAAAATATTTCGAGCAGCATTAATTGGATACGGACCCATGTCTGGAATCGGACCAGCATCAAAACCTATATATCAATGTCTCTGTTGAAAGATATTTATTCTGACTGTCATCTTTTCAATAAAAATATTTTTCTGCTTAAACAAATATTTACCTTGTTTAGCACGATGATTTTCAGGTTTCACAAGTTGAGTAAAAACTGATGAAAATATACGAAGATCACCAAAATCTCCTTTTCGAACACGATCAATAACATCAAGTGTTCCTGGTTCATGATGAAGACGATAAGCAATCATTAATTTAGCACCAGTTTTTTTTTGAGCAGCTAATATAGCTTCACAATTTTCTTCTGTAACCTCCATTGGTTTTTCAAGTAATACATGATAACCTAATAATCTATACGATAAACAAATATGATATAAAACAAGTTTATAGAAACCTTTTTCAAGAGCTTGAACAGCAAATTGTCGATGTTGATTGTTTGGTGTAGCAATATAAAATGCATCACAATGACCATCTTCAAGTGCTTGCGAAAATTGATCATAACTATATGATTTCAAATTATACTCTTTGCCTAGTTTGTCACGTTTTTCTGCATCATCACTAATTAGTACAGTTAATACTAGAATGAACAAAATAAGAATTCAAATATTGTCGTTTCATGTAAGTAAAACATGAAGAAATTATTTTACCTGAATTCGATGTTTGTCCCACTCCTGGCATAAATGAACTTTGACTGATCCATCCAGCAGCTACAACACCATATCGAACTTTCGGTCCAGAAGGTTTGCGACCAAGTAACGTGTTAATAGCGTCTTTCACAGTATTCATGATTTTTTTGAAATCTAGAAATATGAATAAAACTAAGAAAAAAATACAAAACGATATATGTTTGCAGAGGTTAAACGAGTACGCATCTGATTATCGCATTCTTTTTCTTTTTCTTTACACAGTAACTCATGTACATCCAGTTAAAATGAAGACAGAAAGATGAGGGTCACTGAGTATAGAAGAAATATTGCTGCTAGTGTTTTTGAGTACGCTAGATACCTATGGAAAAAATATTTTAAAAATCGTAATTACCTCAAGATCTAACAAAGACTTTGTTACATGGTGAAATATGTGTTCTTTTTTTACTCTTATAACATAGAACGTGTCAATGACTTAAACTTTCTGCAAAGCGATGTTATTCTACGTTGTTATAATGCGATCAATATACAATCGTTATCGTGTGTTTTTTTCAGCCCTCGAACTTAAGCATACAAATTCAAAGAAATAAATATTGATCTCTATTAGACAAAGAAATTACGTTGTTGAAGTTGATTATTAGTGTTTGGTTTTGTAATACAGCTAATGTTACAATCTACAGATGCTAATGCATAAAAATCTGATCTTTAAGTTTAACATATTTCATCACTCATTTTTCAGATTAAAATTTAAAGAATATTTCTCATCTTGTTGAACTTCTATTCGATTTAATCGTGCAAAATTTTTGAAAAATAGAAACTACAAAAACTTACAATCGTAAACAAAACTGAATTTTACCCGTATTGTTTTAGTGATGTCAAGAATTATTGAAAATGATGAATGACATATTCAAATATGAATCACAATGATTAAAGTTAATCAATTAAGAAACTTCTTTCTCGTGAAAGAAGTACTGCAACTGATTTCCACCTTTGAGCGTTATTTTTTGATAACAGATCGTAAGATTAAGACAAATCTATCAACACTACTGCTGACTAATAATCTTTTTCTATTTCTCTGACAATATTACATCTATTCAAACAATATCTGTGTCAACATTACTATTTTAATGGATTTAGTCGTATTAAACCATCTCGCTTTCGTTGTAGTGCTGCTTAACCAAATTTCGAAGATATTCATCAGGAAAGTACTGCATAATCATAACATGAAGGTGTAATGTCTTTTGATCAAATATCAGTTTTCAAATTTGCTGACATAAAATGACTACCTCCATATGTATGGCTCGTTTTCTTACTAAATAGTTGTAATTGACTATGAACAAGATAATTTTAACCCTTTGAGAATCGTGGTCGTATATATAAGGCTTTGAAAATTTTAGTAGAAACGAAAGTCTTTCGAATTGTTAGAGTAGATTCTTCGAATGTCTTATTTCTTTTTCCATCTCAAAGTTCTCTATTTGTGTCGTTGCAGTAAGAACAAGTATTATAATTATGATAGTTAAAACTTTTCAGGTTATAACTTATTCTGACGCTACAGCTTTATTTCTTTTATAAAAAAAAAAAAAAAGTCGGTCCTCAAAGGGTTAAACAAGCCAAAGTTGATGCTGTTGTTGATACAATTAATAATTTTATAGAGACATATAGACGAATTTCTTAGAAACTGGATAGAATCAAAAAGTAAAAACTTACGAAAAAATCTTCTTTGAAGAATTGCGAAAGTGCTTACGGAGTTTCGAAATTTTCAGTAAACATTATGATAATAATGATGCATTCTTTCGTTGGTAATCAGTTAACATGAACATATTGGTTCTTTCATGATGTCGCAGACAATAATCTTCAATTAAAGGCAAAGTCTTTTAATAATCATTCATGGTTAGAATAAGATTGTCAAGACGTGTAAAAACAGTCCAAAAATGGCAGAAATTTTCAATAGTCGATCGAATGTATCACATTAAAAAAACAAAAGTTGAATCGATGAATAGTCGTTCATTCGTCTTTCTGTTGTTTTGCAAAAAAATACTGTAACATATGTAACAAACGAAAAACCAAAACGAAATTGAACATTCTTTTGATTCTATATCACATCATCTATATTACATCATATTATACTATTTCTATATCTAGATTTCATAGTATACAAATATATTTAAATAGTTTTCGGCAAGTTTTCCACCATTTATTTTACTATTATTTATTAGTAAATCTTATATTAGTGGATGCAATGATAAACTCATTTAGATCATAACATAAAAAGCTCTGCTTTAACTATTCTTTAAATCAATAAGCAAGCAAAACAAAAATAGTTTAATAAAATTCATGAATATTACTGTATTCATTGAAACAATTATTTGACTATCTAATAATTATTTAATGTAGAGCAGAATTGCTGATAATAGAAAATTTTATGTTTTCATCAGAACGAAATCTATCTGATGCTAGAATACTTTTTCCAGTGATACTATTTTATTGTGTGAAGTAGTTCAAAAGAAAAAAATCTCCTTCTGTAGTAAAGATGTCCAGAAATTAAATTATTGAAGAGCAACATTAGAGTTATGTTATATCTTTAAAATTCTTCATAAAACTATTTTAGCCGCCACACAATGTTTTCAATCTGATCATATCTCGTAATATGATACAAAAATTTTCCATTACTTATTTATCGAGCAAATGCTTTAGAATATATAATTAAGTGAAATCTTTAAATAAATAAATTCAATAAGTATACTTGAATTTTTTTTTGTATTTTTCGATGCGTAGTCTAATACTGAAATGAGTTAACAACTTTCTAACATGTCTTCAGGAAATGAAATTTATTTATTAAGTTTTACTTTTAAACATCCATTGATCTAATAGTTCAATATTTGTCAAGAATAATCAAACATGTTAAAGAAAGAATAGAAGAATAGCTGTCTATGTTAATATTTCTTATTCTGTACAATACAACATCGATGATGTGCTATATAACTATGCCAAATTTAAGAGCGCTTACATGGTTTGTTAAAATTGTTTTAGTTTATTTATTGTACTTTTCTTTTTACATGATGCACCTATAGTAGTTTTTTTCGACGAATTTGTTTTTCAGAATAATGTGAAAAATATTTAATATGGAAACTTTTCTCGTCATTTACTAATTGGCTGATTGTAGAATTAGAACAACATATTCTTTTCTTGTGACCTATGAAAACTTCGAAAAAAATACAATATTATATTATATGAGATCTCGGATATGAGTTCAAATATAAATGAATAATTTACTGTTCAACGTCGATGCAAAAAGATAATTGATTTTGTACGTTTAAGAAAAAGAAAAAAATGAACAGCGTTCTAGGACATGACAATCCAAACAAAAATAGACTAGACTTCATTACTTTAGATTGAAAATAGAAAAAAAATAAAACTTTGCATGACGAAACGGACATTTTCATCAATATATTACTATGATGTTAACTAAAAATCAAGTTACTTGTATATGTTCAATTAAAATATTCGATTTAATCAATAACATTGAAATATATTAATATCAATGTCCACTTAATCATTCAAAATTTCATGTTTTTCTTAATGTATTATAGCAAAATCTGATTTTCAAGCAGTTATTTTGTATTTTTTTAGTAACCCGTGAGCTGCATTCTTTAATAACAATAATAATTAAACAATACTTGAACTATAATTTCATCATCGAATTTTTGAAAGTATTAGAAATATACGAAAAATGAGAAATGTTTCCCAGCATTGAAAAATTGTGTCCTAATAGTACCACAGATATCTTTTGTGACAAGCTTGTCATTTTTTGTCTAAAATGTTTTATCAAGCGTATTTCGCTCTGAGTTTGGTCACAAGGTGATCACAAAGTTCTGAATTTGTTACATGCAGTGAGATCGAGACTTGGAGGCTTCGTATACAGTCTAGTTGCTGAGGCAGAAAACTTTGTACTAAATCAATATGTGAGAGCTCACCATAGCGTGCGACGTGGACTTCATATTGATGCTTCAAACTTTTAAAGGTGAAGCAAACATCTACGCTTATATTGAGCTATGCATCGAAGCCAGAGGAAAGAGAAAAAGTGAAGTTATTTTACATTTTGTTGAAAACGACGCATAACAGTTAGTGTACATATTGATACTGATAAGAATCTGTTGAAAGCTGTAACAACAATATCTTTATCATTTTTCTTTCTTTTTTCGTTCTTCAAGCGAATTCTTGAATAGGATCAAAGTACAATATGAATAGTTATCATAAATTTTGTATGAAAAGACAGAGGTGTGCTTTTATGTCTCTGAATAATTTTGCATCATAGTATGACAGCAAAAAAGTCTTTTTATGTTATCTATTGTAAAAGAAGTATATATGAATCCTTGACAAACTCTTGCTCAATACAATGGACACTTTTTCTCATTCTTTTCAATATGTATAAATTGAAGCGACAAATGTGACCTTTTCATTTCAATGCACACCAGCATATATGAAACCAAAGAGAAAGAGAAGCTCGTAAAAAAAAGTCGAGAAAGAAAAAAGAAAGTAACATTGAATGCATGACAGTTTTTTTTCTCAGGTATGCTTTGTTTGTAGGCAACGATGAAAGCAACAGCATTACATCAAAATTTTCTCTTCTTTTGGTGGTTGGTTACTAGGAAACTTCGCGAGCGAATAAATACACGCGTCTTTTTTTCATTTTCTTTTCACTACTGATTTCGTCAATTCAATAAAAGTATATTATGGATGACAGAAAAAAAAAGTTGACAACAAAGTCATCAGATGCTGCTGCTTCAGATAAACATATCAACAGAAGACCACGACGAGGATTTCATGTACATATGACTCAAAATTTTTTGTTAGTCTGGCTCGACAGCAATATTGATCTAGAGAATAATGATGAATGTAAAATGACAATGTCAAAATTAAAAAAAATAGTTGACATGATCAATCCATTTACGGATGTTGATGAATGTGTACGTTTTGTCAAAAATATCAAGGAAGAACAAGCGTTTATGATTGCTTCTGGTTCATTGGGACAAACCACAGTTCCTATCGTGCATGATTTGCCTCAAGTAAATACTATTTATATTTTTTGTGGAAATCAAGCTCGGCATGAACAATGGGCCAAACATTGGCCGAAAATAAAAG